ACTCTCAACAACCTTCGCCGCAAAGCGAAGGTTGGAGACTGGACGATAGTTGGCCAGCTCATCTGGGTCCAGGGAAGGCTTCTTGAGGAGGGGCCTCACAACGGCCTCCTTGAGGGCCGCAGGGAAGGCACCCTCCTGCAAGGAAGCGTTAACAATTCCCTGGAGCCAGGCTCGTGTACCCTCCCGAGCTGCCAGTACCCTCCCGAGCTGCCACTCAGTATGTTTACTGAGTGCCAGTAATTGTTATGATTCTGTTATATTTCCATACATTCTTCTTCTGCCCTGCCTACTTGGTTTTAACTTTCAGGTTTGATTCCCTATCAATAGCCACATCCTGCGTTTTTGACTCCTTGTAGAAAATTCAGTAGTAAACACAATATCTCTCCAGAAATACAATTTCAAGAAGAATTCTACCCAAAGGTTTTGTCCATGGCAAGGTAGAAATTACTCCTATCAGAGAGGAGTAATCAAGTATAGGTAGTCCCTGACATGACCATAATTGAGCCCAAAATTTCTGTTGCTAAGAGAGACAGTTAGGTGAGTTTTGCCCTATTTTACAAGTTTTCTTGCCACAGTTTCTGAGTGAATCACTGCAATTAATTTAGTAACACAGTCGTTAGGTGATTCATTGACTTTGCATGTCAGAAGGTTGTAAAAGGTGATCACATGATCCCAGAATACTGCAACCATCATGAAAATGAGTCAGTTGTCAAGCATCTGAATTTTGATCACGTGACCATGGGGATGCTGCAACGGTCGTAAAGGTGAAAAATGGTCATAAATCACTTCTTTCAGGGCCTTATAACTTCAAAAAATCATTAAATGAATGGTTGTAAGTTGAGGACCACCTGTATACCAGAAGGCAAAATGAAAGACCAATCAAAGCACAGAGGAATCACCATTGCTCAGGAAGACTATGTTGCTATAGAAGGGCTAATTAGACTAAGAAGCTTTATTGAACTCATACCTGCCCCAGATTCAATGGTGAGCTTTAAGATTCAACCCATGTAGAATACAAGACAGTTTCCCATCTAGGTATTAATCGGATCCAGATTGGATTAGCTTCCAACAAATTGGGATATTTGGATAAAAGAATATTCTGTGGGATGAAATCTTTGTATCCAGAAGACAAAGATTCTTGTATTATGCACCTTTCATTCAGACCTAAATCCTGAAGACATTTTAGCCTTTTGCATCAGTTATATAATGTTAGATAAAGAAATATACCTCCCATTTTACTGAATAACGTGTTTATCTTATAATCTTTTAAAACAATATTCTTAGGAAAAAGAAGACATTGACATGACCAACTCACAAGGGAAAGAAAAGAGTTCTCTATGAAACTGTAAGTGAAAATGAGAAATAATGATCATAGGAGAAATAATCAAATCCCCATTATGCTGCTTAAATAATTAAATGTATTTTCCCTCCTCTTCCTTCCAAACCTCACAAATGACGTAGCTTCTCTGATGTACAGAAAACAGAATCTAATAAAAGATCAAACATTATTGCCATCAAATTCCATGCCCTGGTTTTTATCCATTCCCAGTAAAAGCCAAGGTGCGCCCATCAATTTCCCCATACATCTTTACCCAAAAAGCAAGTTTTAATATGAAATGTTAAAGATATTTCCATGGTGGTTTTTTGATTCTTGAAAATTATATGTCTGATTGTTTGTTTCAAGTGTCAGAGTTCCAAACTTTTATCGTCTTCCTTTCTTTTTGATTTGCGGCAAAGGTGGGATTTGATCAACCTTTTTCCCTTATACACTGGACTTACTTCCTGAGATCCTGTTTTAAAGAATCATTCAATGCATTCAGCACAGAAACACTGGACCCACACAAGGAATGTGATTTTAAAGTCACTCAGTCTGGAACACTTCTCACTTCAGTTATGTATTTATCACAAGGTGAAAGGTGTTGCAATTGTGTCAGTTTGTAGGATTCCAGGGGGTGTAGAAAACAGAAGCTGTAAGTAATATTTTGCTATCTTGCAGATCTAAACAAATTATAATGCCAGGTTTTTATCAGGTATTTGTGAGCTGCTTCATACCTGCCAGGGGCTACTAAGTTGCTGTGGTTACTTAAAACTAGGCAGCCCTGTGGAAGGGCTGTGTGGGCTTTTCTCAGCTGAAAATGCTAGTGCAACCTTTCCCACTCAGTTTCCTTTCAAATTCACTCCGACTACAACTCCCAGAATTCCCTAGGGCAGTGATGGTGAACCTTTTAGAGACCGAGTGCCCAAAAAACAGACCTGCCCCCACCCTGCCCACCCGCAGGGCCACCCACCGCCTCCACAGCCCACTGAAGATCGCCCAGGCAGCCCAGCAGAGTGATGGCAGCCATGCCCTCCGCCCACACCCCACAACATCAACTGCGTGCAATGTGGCATGAGGGCAGAGTCTTGTCCCTGCTGCCTGGCTGCCATGTCCTTGGCTGCACTGCTCTGCATGGGCCACGCTCAGGGGCGACTCTCCTCCAGGGGGCTGATGGTGAGGAGGGAACCATGGGGGGAGGTGAGGCTGGGGTGATGGCGCATGTGCCCACAGAGAGGACTCTGAGTGCCGCCTCTGGCACGCGTGCCATAGGTTCGCCACTACTGCCCTAGGGAGCTACTATAGAAGATTTTTGCCACATGAATATTTCTACATACTTTGGCTGGCAGGGGTTCTAAGCACTCCCAAGGATCAAAGTGCTTGTGAGCTTAATGGCACAGCTGAAGGCCTTTTATGCACACACATATGTATACACACCTTTTCCACACACACAAAACCCTTCCCCTTATTCTTTTCAATCAGTGGCATCAGCTCCTGTTCATATTCCTTGAGTCAGTGAAAAAGAGCTGCAGAGATTTATTTTGAGAGAAATATTGTATTTTGTTAAAAAGGGAGGAAATGAGAGAAAGAGAGCAATAAAACTAGTTTTGATAGTACCTCAACTTGTTTTGCTCAGTGATTCCCTTTGTATGTGAGTTTAATAGGGGATGGATGCGTCAACAGGAGTACCAGACAAATCTGCTCCAGATTTAAAGTATGTCTGCAAGCTTCTATCTATCTATCTATCTATCTATCTATCTATCTATCTATCTATCTATCTATCTATCTATCTATCTATCTATCTATCTATCTATCTATCTATCTATCTATCTATCTATCTATCTATCTATCTATCTATCTATCTATCTATCTATCTATCTACCTACCTACCTACCTACCTACCTACCTACCTACCTACCTATCTATCATCTATTTTCAAAAACTGAATACTTACACTGGAGAAATGCTTGCAGACAATGATCTTATTCAAAACAGGGAAGCCAACTCCTTGCCTGAAATTGTGGCCCCTCACAATGAGTATTTCCATCTTGCCTGTCCATTCATTCATTCATTCATTCATTCATTCATTCATTCATTCATATAGAGAGAAAATATATAATGTCCAAGAGGTACAAGAAAAAAAGAAAGGAAACTATAACAAGGAAATAAAATGATTTCCAACCTTTTCTTCAACAAATAATTGCAGTCTTATAATCTCTCCTCCCTCTTGGATGTTATGCAAATCTCTTCAGGCCCACACTTAATTCACTTTTTTAAAATCTTCAAACCCATAAATAATCATATAAGGATTTCCATCTTTTCAAAACTGAGCCTTATTTTATTAAACCTGATCCAGCCCATTCCCATCAGAAGAAAGCCACTCGAGGGAACAATATTACAACCTGGAAATGCTACAGATTTGAGTGTCATCAGCATATTGATAGAACACAGCTCCAAATCTTCTCATAAAGTTTTCTAGCAGTTTCATGGAAATATTGAAAAGCTATGAAATGCAATAGAGCCCTGAAGACACCAGATACCAGTTCCCATGCCTCCAGGCCTCCTATTTCCAAACCTCTCAGTAGATGTAAAATATCAAAACCCACTAAGGGCTAACTGAGTTGCATTATTGTATTTATAACAGTAATAATAATAATAATAATAATAATAATAATAATAATAATAATAATAATAATAATCGTAGTAGTAGTAGTAGTAGTAGTAGTAGTAGTAGTAGTAATAATAATAATAATAATAATAATAATAATAATAATAATAATAAAGTTGGAAGGGACCTTGGAGGTCATCTAGTCCAACCCCCTGCTCAGGCAGGAAACCCTATACCATTTCAGACAAATGGCTGTCCAGTCTCTTTTTAAAAACTTCCAGTGTTGGAGCATTCATCACATCTGGAGGCAGGTTGTTCCACTGGTTAATTGTTCTAACTGTCAGGAAGTTTCTCCTTAGTTCTAGGTTGCTTCTCTCCTTGATTAGTTTCCATCCGTTGCTTCTTGTCCTGCCTTCAGGCGCTTTGGAGAATAGCTTGACTCCCTCTTCTTTGTGGCAGCCCCTGAGATATTGGAACACTGCTATCATGTCCCCCCTCGTCCTTCTCTTCATTAAACTAGACATACCCAATTCCAGTTTCCTTATATGCTTTAGCCTTAGCTACCATGAAATGAAAAGATGTTTGCTCCTTGGGAGGAAAGCTGTGGCAAACCTAGATAGCACATTAAAAAAGCAGAGAGATCACATTGTCAACAAAGGTCTACATAATCAAAGCTACAGTATGGGTTTCCCAGTAGCAATGTATGCCTGTGAGAGTTGGACCATAAGGAAGGCTGAGAGCTGAAGAATTGATGCTTTCAAATTAGGGTGTTGGAGAAGACTCTTAAGAGTCCCTTGGACTGCAGGGAGATCAAATCAGACAATCCTGACTGTTCTTTGGAAGGATAGATACTGAAGCAGAGGCTCAAATACTTTGGCCACCAAATGAGAAGAAAGGATTCATTGGAAAAGACCCTGATGTTGGAAAGACTGAAGACAAAAGGAGAAGGGGATAGCAGAAGATGAGATGGTTAGACAGTGTCATCAATGCAATGGGCATGAGTTTGGGCAGACTCCGGGAGACAGTGGAGGACAGGGGGGTCTTGGTGTGCTATGGTCCATGGGATCATGAAGTGTTGTGACTTAGTACCTGAACAAAACTTCTGTTATTATCCAACAGTCCCAAAATCTGGCACCATTCAGATGTATTGATTGCAATTTCCATCATCCTCAGGCAGCATTGATTGATTCTGTGCCATCAAGCAATTTAAAACACCTAATGATCTCATATATAGATTTTCTCCATGACAACATATCCTTACTGTGTTTTTTTTCAAGTATCCCAAAGGTGTAGTCATCACCACCATAAATGAGTCCCTTCACCTTGCTGCTAGTCATCCTCTTCTTCTCTTTCCTTCCATCTTTCCCAGCATTAGAGCCTTTTCCAGAGATCAAACAGCATAGCCAAGCTGAATTAGTGTTCCAAACTAGGAATATGAGACTCTAATTTCAGTTCCTTGATCAACCATGAAGCTTTGCTGAGTGACCTTCAGCTGTCAAATCTTGTGACTTAGAGGGAGTCTTGGTTTATTCTACCAAGAGTCTCCAGTTTTATCTCTTCAGTTTCTAAGCAATGTGATAATCCATAATTAAGCCTATGGAAAATAATTAGCACAGAATTAGATATGGCCAGCAGGGGGAAGAGGAACACTTGCTAAAGGCTGCTGAAAGTTCATAAAAGGTTTTTTTTAATGAATTGCCCTATCATTTAGAAAAAATGATAACAAAAGATTTCCGAAGGTTTTGGCATCGAAAGATTCCCCACTTTTAATCCACCATGCTTTCTGTAGGCTACTTCTACAGATAGCCTATTCTCCAAAGCGCCTGAAGGCGGGACAAGAAGCAACGGGTGGAAACTAACCAAAGAGAGAAGCAACCTAGAACTAAGGAGAAACTTCCTGACAGTGAGAACAATTAACCAGTGGAACAACCTGCCTCCAGAAGCGGTGAATGCTCCAACACTGGAAGTTTTAAAGAAGAAACTGGACAGCCATTTGTCCAAAATAGTATAGGGTTTCCTGCCTGAGCAGGGGGTTGGACTAGATGACCTCCAAGGTACCTTCCAACTTTATCATTATTATTATTATTATTATTATTATTATTATTATTATAGATAGAAATGCTAAAATTATCCTCATCTTAATCCCTCCATGGATTTTATTGTTCCATGGATTTTATTGTGGTTTACTTACAACAAAACATAAATAAAAGTTAGTCACCACAGAAATGAGAAGTTTGAGGAAAGCTGCTGAAGTGACCAGAAGAGATAAAATCAGAATGAGACCATCCGAGAAAGAATTGGCATAGAACAAATTTTAAATTACATACAAAAGCGACAGATAAAGTGATTTGCTCACCTGGAGAGAATGTCATGGGATTCCATACCGTACAAGGCATATACAAAAAGAGAAGGACAAATAACATGAGGCAGAACCAAAAGAAGATGGAGTGACAACATCAAAGATACAATACAACATCAATTAACAATGGTTGAAGTCCCCAGAAGGGCAAGAGCCAGAACTTTGTATCTCCCTTGTCACCTGAAGCAGAGGAAGAGGAAGGGGAGGAAGAAGAGG